TTTTGTATTTTTAATAGAGATGGGGTTTCACCACATTTGTCAGTCTGGTCTCAAACTCCTGATCTCAGGTGACCACCTACCTCGGCCTCCCAAAGTGCTGGGATTATAGGTGTGAGCCACCGCACTTGGCCAGGATTGGCACTTTTAAATCCACTTCTCTGGATATCAGTTAGGGTGGGTGGTAACTGGTATAGCCATATGGCATAGCCCAGTGATCACCCCAGTATTGTCTTTTTCAAATACAAAAACAAAACTTGTATTAAGGCCGTATGCTAGCATCACAGGAAGCATTTTCATTTGTCTCATTCTAATTTAATTCTCACTACTTACAAGGTGGGACAGTATTATCCCCACTTCACAGCTGAGGAAACTGAACTGCACAGAGGTTAAATATTCTGTCCCCGTTTACATGATGATGGAATTCCTGAGATTTGGAGTCAAGTTTCCTGAATCCAAAGCCCATAGTCTATCTTGTCACTTCATTGTATCATGTTGTTTCTAGATTTTGGTTCCTCTTTCTCCTTTATCCACCACCCTCATTCCTACCCTCACTATGGGCAGGAGAAGGTATTTTCCACACAATTGCCAGAAATTTCAGCTCCGAAAGGACTATACTGCAGGGAGACAGGCAGGCAGCCATGACTTCGATGTCCAAGTTCTTGAAACCTAAATGTGTGTATCAACTGAGACAATTCCAACAATTCCATCAGCATCCCTGCAGTCAGATATCTGCTAAGCTCTGATATCATCTGTCATTACTGGAAACAGAGCTCTGTCCTTGGCTTAGGGTGAGACAGGACAAGGGAGGAGAGACAGGCCAGTCCACCCATATCCAAGGATACACAAGAATGGAAGGGTAAAGAGCCATGGATATGTATGCAGGGGAAGTGTAGGGTGTGTTGTACAAGTATGATCTGCGAAGTATTGTTAAAGCTGTCCAAGGTGCTCTTCAGTCATTCATTCACTATTGATCACTTAGCAACTGCCTGCCCAGGCTAGATGCTAAAGAAACAGATAAGTAAACCTACCCCGTGCCCTCAACAAACACAGTCGAGCAAAGCAGATACCATACCAATTGGAGATTTGGAAAAATTGTTAAAATATAAATTACTGGGTCCCATCCCCAGAGTTTTTTATTCATTTGTTTTGGGGTGGGGCCTGAGAATTTGGTTTCTAACAAGTTCCTAGGTAATGGTGATGCTGCTGCTCTGGGAACCACACTTTGAGATGAGAACCACTCATATCCAAACTAAGATTATGTTCTGTAATAAAGGTAAGTACGGATTGGATTGCTGAGAGAGCCCAGAGAAAGGAGAGATTAATTCTGCCTGGGAGAATTCTGGAATAACCTTGAAGGATGGATAGAATTTGAATAGGATTTTGCCTGGCTACTTGGAGAGGAAGAAAAAGACACAAGGAACAGCCCAGGGGGTATGAAGGGTGAGGGAGTCAGGAATTTATGCTGCAGGAAAGGTGGCAAGGAAGGAGAAGAGTGAAAGTTCACACTATTGAATAAGCCAACAATGGATTTCAAGAAAAGTGAAGGACTTCTCAAGAAAAAGAGTTATTTAAAGCTGTTGCTCAAAATAAGATCTATAGATCGTGGCTCCACTCCAGACCAGAATTACCATCTCTAAGGTTGGAGACACTTTAATAAGCATCCCGGGGTCCGGGCATGGTGGCTCACGCCTGTAATCCCAACACTTTGGGAGGTCGAGGTGGGCGGATCACGAGATCAGCAGATCGGGACCATCCTGGCTAACACCGTGAAACCCTGTCTCTACTAAAAAATACAAAAAATTATCCGGGCGTGGTGGCGGGCGCCTGTAGTCCCAGCTACTCGGGAGGCTGAGGCAGGAGAATGGTGTGAACCTGGGAGGTGAAGCTTGCAGTGAGCCGATATCGCGCCACTGCACTCCAGCCTGGGAGCAAGCGGGAGACTACGTCTCAAAAAATAATAATAATAATATAATAATAAGCATCCTGACTGGGCATGGTGGCTCACGCCTGTAATCCCAGCACTTGGGGAGGCCAAGGTGGGTGGTCAGGAGTTCGAGACCAGCCTGGCCAACATGGTGAAACCCCATCTCTACTAAAGATACAAAATTAGCCGATATAAAATTAGCCGGGCATGGTGGCATGCGCCTGTAGTCAGTTACTTGGGAGGCTGAGGCAGGAGAATTGCTTGAGCTCAGGAGGCTGATGTTGCAGTGAGCCAAGATCATGCCACTGCACTCCAGCCTGGGCAACAAAGTGAGACTCCATCTCAAAAATAAAAGACATAAAACAAAATTCAGAGGATTTAGTTACTAATTTGATTTGGAGGGTAAGGTGGCTTAGTCCCAGCTACTTGGGAAGCTGAAATGGGAGGATCGCTTGAGGCTAGGAGTTTGAAGCTACATCACACCTGTCAATAGCCACTGCATTCAAGCCCGGCAACATAGCAAGACCTCATCTCTTTAAAAAATGAAATATGGCCGGGCGCGGTGGCTCAAGCCTGTAATCCCAGCACTTTGGGAGGCCGAGGTGGGTGGATCACGAGGTCAGGAGATCGAGACCATCCTGGCTAACACGGTGAAACCCCATCTCTACTAAAAATACAAAAAAATTAGCCGGGCGTGGTGGCAGGTGCCTGTAGTCCCAGCTACTCGGGAGGCTGAGGCAGGAGAATGGCGTGAACCCAGGAGGCGGAGCTTGCAGTGAGCCGAGACAGTGCCACTGCACTCCAGCCTGGGCGACAGAGCAAGACTCCGCCTCAAAAAAAAAATAAAATAAAATAAATAAATAAATAAATAAATAAATAAATAAATAATGAAATATATAAGAAGAAGACATTTTAAAAACTACTGGAGGCCAGGCGTGGTGGTTCATGCCTGTAATCCCAGCACTTTGGGAGTTTGAGGCAAGCAGATCACTTGAGGCTAGGAGTTCGAGACCAGCCTGGCCAACATGGTAAAACCCCATCTCTACAAAAAATATAAAAATTAGCTGGGTGTGGTGGTGGGAGCCTATAGTTCCAGTTACTTAGGAGGCTGAGGCAGGAGAATCGCTTGAACCTGGGAGGTAGAGGTTGCAGTGAGCTGAGATCACGCCACTGTACTCCAGCCTGGGTGACAAAGTGAGACTCCGTCTGAAAAAAAAAAAAAAATTGGAATGGGGCCGGGCACAGTGCCTTGCCTGTAATTCCAACACTTTGGGAGGCTCAGGTAGGAGGATCACTTGATCCCACAAGTTTTTGAGACCAGCCTGGGCAATATAGTGAGTCCCCATCTCTACCAAAACAAGAAAAAGTTCTTTGTTTTTTTTTTTTTTTTTTTTTTAATTACATGGTCATGGTGGCCCACACCTGAAGTCCTAGCTACTAAGGAGGCTGAGGTGGGAGGATCACGAGCCCAGGAGGTTGAGGCTGCAGTGAGCCATGATTGTGCTACACACTTCAGCCTGGAGGACAGAGCGAGACCCTGTCTCTCAAAAAATCAAAACAAAACAAAAGCCGTTGCAATGAGATCCTGAGGGATACAGGGAAAATTGTTATCACTGGAGAGCTTCAGAAGAGAACTGATGAAATCCTGATTGTTCCCACGTGTTGCCCAAGACAAATCCTATAGGTTCAGATAAGCAAAAACTGTTAGATAGATTATCTTTCCCTTAAACTCGGAAAGCACATAAGGTACCATCTGAAAACACTCTTCTGGTGAGTGATGGGAAATATAATTCAGTTTGAGAGCCAACTAGACCTAGATTCAGACCTAGATTTGAATCCCGTCTATGCCACTGAGTAGGATTAACCTCAGATAGGCAGTTTATCCTCTCTGAATTGCAATTTCCTCATGTCTAAATGGGAGGAGAATGCCTAAGATGCAGAGTTGTGCAGATTAAACAGGCTGCTGGCTTATATAAAGTGCTCACATCTTGCCTGAGAGAGAATCCGTGCTCAGGATGGTGACATGGTAAACAGTATGGACTCAGGAGTTGAATTACTTGAGGCTGAGCCCCAGCTCCACTACTTATGCACTATAGACTGGGCAAATCTCTCTAGGCCAGTTTCCTCGACTCTAGAATGGAGATAATAATAGTACCTATCTCTCAGTGTTATGATGACCCAATCAGATGATGTGAATAAATAGATTAACCTGGCCTGGCACAGGGTAAGCAGCTGCCATCCTCCTCCTCTACCTCCCTCATGCTTATTCTAGTTGGTAATGTCAGTGACACTACTAGACTGTAACTGTTGGGGGTATATATCCTTCTTGTTTTTTTTTTTTAACCCAAATTTAGCAGTGGAGGGTCGTATACCAACTTTAGTGACCCTAACGTTGATAAGCTCTGATAACGCACTACCATCGGACCAGCCACCCTTGTCTGATATTTGTCCCTCCCTCTTTTTTTTTTTTTTTTTTTTTTTTGAGGCGGAGTCTCGCTCTGTGGCCCAGGCTGGAGTGCAGTGGCCAGATCTCGGCTCACTGCAAGCTCCGCCTCCCGGATTTACTCCATTCTCCTGCCTCAGCCTCCCGAGTAGCTGGGACTACAGGCGCCCACCACCTCGGCCGGCTAGTTTTTTGTATTTTTTAGTAGAGACGGGGTTTCACTGTGTTAGCCAGGATGGTCTCGATCTCCTGACCTCGTGATCCGCCCGTCTCGGCCTCCCAAAGTGCTGGGATTACAGGCTTGAGCCACCGCGCCCGGCCTGTCCCTCCCTCTTTAGCTAACCGAGCCCCCTACAGGCACCAATAAATGCCCTATTTTTTTCCCTGTGTCTGCCAAGAGAAAAAGTAAATTTCAGATTGTGTTCCCCCTCCTAGCGCCAGAGAAAGGAACTACAACAAAGCCTACCTGCTGAGTACAGAGAACGCAAAGCACACGCGCCCTCCCAGCTCTTCAGTCCGCCTGGACGACTCTCCTTTGCTCTTGTCTACTGCTGGAGCTGCTAATAAAGCTTGATTCAAATACATGAGCTGCCGGGCCCTGCGTTCCCCTTATGAGCTTCTTCCGCCCGCAACTCGAGACTCAGCACCACACAAGTAGCGTGGCGAAGCCTGCAGGGCGGGACAGGAAGTGAGGTCATTCCTTCCCGGGGTGAAAGGTTAGCGGAAGTGTTCTTCTTTCCTTTTTGCTGTAGGCCTGAGTGGTTGCTGCCGGTGAGTAGAAGCTTGGGTTGAATCTTTCAATCCGCCGCCATCCGCGGCTTGGGGGTCGAGGGTCCGGGCGGCGCCGGGTGCGTTCCTTCCTTAGGTCTCTGGCGGCTACGTATCCGATCCCGTCCTGCGAGCCTGGCCCGCGGGCGGCCTGGACCAAGGCGACAGTGAACACAGTCTGAAGTTCCGGCCCAAGACCTGGGCTTGCTGGCAGGAGTCGGCTCTGGGCGTCTTTAGCTTTACGGATTTTTAAGTGGCCCTTTCTCCTTGCTTTCTGCAGAAATGGGCAAGTTCATGAAACCTGGGAAGGTGGTGCTTGTCCTGGCTGGACGCTACTCTGGACGCAAAGCCGTCATCGTGAAGGTATCAGCCTCGCGGGACTCTGCGTCCTTGCATCCCGGGACCAGGCTGGCTCCGGTGGAGCAAGCAGGCTTGGAATTCAAGGCCCGCTTCTAGGGCAGTAGCCAGTGAGCACGGTCGGGGTGAATGTGGGAAAGCTTTTGAGAGAGGAAGAGGCACAGTAGAAGCAAATGTGAGCTGAATTGGGCTCCTAACGCATAACGCCTTCTCCACTAGAGGCTTTAAATATATAGCAATAATGGCTGACATTTATTGCACACTTGCTATGTGCTCCCACTGCCTTTCAGGTATTGTCATGTGCAGTCCTTGAAGTAATCATAGGGGATTCCTCTTTTTTTTTTTGAGACGGGATCTCTGTCCAGGTTGGAGTGCAGTGGCGCGATCACTGCAGCCTCGACTTCCTGGGCTCAAGCGATTCTCCCATCTCAGCCTTCCAAATAGCTGGGACTACAGGTGCGCGCCACCATCCCCAGCTATAGGGGGTTCCTTCCTGTTGTTAAGGTTTAGAGGTGTTGTGTTATTTACCTGAAGTGCTGCAGCTGGGAATCTGTAAGAAGAGGAGGAAATTGCTTTTAGAAAGGTCACGTAGCCTCTCACTGTTTTTCTCCTACCCATGTTTTTGTAGCTTCTTGAGAAATTTCCCTAGGCTCTGGCCACATACACCACTGCGTTTTGCTGTTGTGGGGACACTGGAGTACCCCTGGATTCCCCTCTCCCATCTCCTGATACTGGGCTCTGGAATGAGGCTCTGGTGTCTTAACCTTGGCTGTACACTTTACTAGCAGTAGAGCAAGTGAATAGTTACCAAGTCTTGTGAGCAGTGCTTGGCATATAGCAAGTACTTCTTAAATGTTAACTATTGCTACTTTTAAATCTCTTACCTCTAATAAGCCGTTCCAGATGCTTCCTAGTGGAAATAAACACTGTTCGGTTTCTCTTTGGTCATTTCGCATAACTTTCTGTGATTTTTCTCTTTATAATGGTGGGTCTTGGAGACCTGAGGGAGGAAATATTTTTTTGACACTGCCCTACCTCTAACACAGGGCCTAAATAGGCCCTCAGTGAATAACAGATGTAATTCTTGTTCATTCAGAACATTGATGATGGCACCTCAGATCGCCCCTACAGCCATGCTCTGGTGGCTGGAATTGACCGCTACCCCCGCAAAGTGACAGCTGCCATGGGCAAGAAGAAGATCGCCAAGAGGTCAAAGATCAAGTCTTTTGTGAAAGTTTATAACTACAATCACCTAATGCCCACAAGGTGAGCATTTCAAGAACTAGAATTTTTAAATTTCTTCTCCCCTCTCTGTTGAATAAGGAGACAAACTTTGCAGCCATTCCAGCACCAGGAAGGAATATCGTTTCCAAATTGTTCATCTTCAACTCATAAAGTGGCCATGGTTTCCAGTTTTACCTTTGATCCATCTTTTAAGTCTTAGGTAAAGATTGTTTTCCATCCACAGTAAACATAGGCATGAGGTCTGATCTGCCGTCTTCCACTGTTCCACCCTCAAGGATAAATACTATAGGTTTCAAAAAGTCTGTGAATGCGCGAAAGCAAGCCTCCTTCAGTTAATTTCACTCACCTGTTGGGCCCTTTAGTCTGGGGACATACACTACTATCTTAGTGCAAGTGTTTTTTTGAGAGGGAGTCTCGCTCTGTTGCCCAGGCTGGAGTGCAATGGCGCAATCTTGGCTCACTGCAAGCTCCGCCTCCCAGGTTTACGCCATTCTCCTGCCTCAGCCTCCCAAGTAGCTGGGACTACAGGCACCCACCACCACGCCCGGCCAATTTTTTGTATTTTTAGTAGAGACGGGGTTTCACTGTGTTAGCCAGGATGATTTCGATCTTCTGACCTCGTGATCCACTCGCCTCGGCCTCCCAAAGTGCTGGGATTACAGGCGTGAGCCACCGCACCTGGCCTAGTACAAGTGTTTTTTAAGAAGTACAGTGGCCGGGCGCGGTGGCTCATGCCTGTAATCCCAGCACTTCGGGTGGCCGAGATGGGCAGATCACGAGGTTGGGAGATCAAGACCATCCTGGCTAACACAGTGAAACCCCGTCTCTACTAAAAATACAAAAAATTAGCTGGGTGTGGTGGCGGGCGCTTGTAGTCCCAGCTACTCGGGAGGCTGAGGCAGGAGAATGGCGTAAACCCGGGAGGCGGAGCTTGCAGTGAGCTGAGATCTGGCCACTGCACTCCAGCCTGGGCAACAGAGCAAGACTCCGTCTCAAAAAAGAAAGAAGTACGAGAGGCCGGGCACAATGCCTCACAGCTGTAATCCCACCACTTTGGGAGACTGGGGCAGCTGGATCACCTGAGATCAGGAGTTTGAGACCAGCCTGAATAACATGGTGAAACCCCGTGTCTACTAAAAATACAAAATTAGCGGGCCGTGGTGGCACATACCTGTAATCCCAGCTACTGGGGAGGCTGAGGCCAGAGAATCACTTGAACCCGGGAGGCGGAGGTTGTGATGAGCGAAGATCACACCATTGCACTCCAGCCTGGGCAATGAGAGTGAAGCTCCGCTTCAAAAAAAAAGAGGTGTGAGGCCAAGGCGAGTGGATCACAAGGTCAGGAGATAGAGACTGTGCTGGCTAACACGTGAACCCAGGAGGTGGAGCTTGCAGTGAGCCGAGATTGTGCCACTGCACTCCAACCTGGGCGACAGAGCAAAAATCCGTTTCAAAAAGAGGTGTGAGAATTGAGAAAGTCCCGAACAATAATTGCCAGAACCCAGCAGCATGCACCTTAAAGTTTGCTGCTGGTACTGCACAATTACTCTTGGTTGGCACCGTGGCTCATGCCTGTAGTCCCAGCACTTTCGGAGGCCGAGGCAGGTGGATCACTTGAGGTCAGGAGTTCGAGACCAGCCTGGCCAACATGACGAAATCTTGTCTCTACTAAAAAACACAACAATTAGCTGGGCATACTGGCTGGCATCTGGAATCCCAGCTATTCCGGAGGCTGAGGTGGGAGAATCACTTGAGCTTGGGAGGTGAGCCAAGATTGCACCACTGCACTCCAGCCTGGGTGACAGAGCTTGCTCCATCTCAAAAAAATAAAAATAATAATAAAAGGGCAGAGAGAGCTGTTTCTCGGGTTCTGGGATGTGGTGGGGTTGAGGCAGCTAGTTTTTGTGCTGTCATGACAGTGACTGCATTGGCAGAACTTGAACGATAAGGAATGGTTTCAAATAGAAAGTCAGTCGACTGTCATGATGAAAGTCAAGAAGGCCTAATTTGGCTGGGCGCGGTGGCTCACGCCTGTAATCCCAGCACTTTGGGAGGCCGAGGCAGGCAGATCACGAGTTCAGGAGATCGAGACCATCCTGGCTAACACGGTGACACCCTCGTCTCTACTAAAAATACAAAAAATTAGCCAGGCGTGGTGTCATGCGCCTGTGGTCCCAGCTACTTGGGAGGCTGAGGCAGGAGAATGGCGTGAACCCGGGAGGTGGAGCTTGCAGTGAGCTGAGATCGCGCCACTGCAGTCCAGCCTGGGCAACAGTGAGACTCCGTCTCAAAAAAAAAAAAAAAAAAAAAGGCCTAATTTGATGATTCTTAGCTATAAAAGTAAAGTAGTAGTGGGAAATTGAGAATGAAATGTTACATTTTACATTTTATTGGCTTGAATCCAATAAATGTTAAAAGTGTGGATTTCCAGGTAATGTCATCAGGATGTGACTTTTGATGGTTGCTTCTGAGTCAGACCCTGATTCCCTAGTGTCCCACAAAGATTTGGGCTGTGTGGGGGCTCCTGGCAGTATGTGGGCTAATCCTACCTCTCCACCTTTGTCCCCAGGTACTCTGTGGATATCCCCTTGGACAAAACTGTCGTCAATAAAGATGTCTTCAGAGATCCTGCTCTTAAACGCAAGGCCCGACGAGAGGCCAAGGTCAAGTTTGAAGAGAGGTAAGTAGGCTTTGGTAGTGAATGATGGAGTATGGTTTCACTATTTCCATTCCTCTCCTCATTGATGTTCTCTTTTTTTCCCTTCTAGATACAAGACAGGCAAGAACAAGTGGTTCTTCCAGAAGCTGCGGTTTTAGTTGCTTTGTTTTGGTCATTAAAAATTAAAAAGGAAAGCCTGTGTCTGCCTGTTGTTTGTATTACCAGACTGTGCAAAGGAGAACATTATTGAATAGGAAACACTGGATGGGCTGGGCATGGTGGCTCACACCTGTAATCCCAGTGTGAGGCCGAGGCAGGCGGATCAGGAGGTCAAGAGATTCGAGACCATCCTGGCCGACATGATGAAACCCCATCCCTACTAAAAATACAAGAGTCAGCTGGGTGTGGTGGTGCAGGTCTGTAGTCCTAGCTACTTGGGAGGCTGAGGCAGGAGAATCACTGGAACCTGGGAGGCAGAGGTTGCCGTGAGCCGAGATAGCACCACTACACTCCAGTCTGGCGACATCGAGACTCCATCTCAAAAAAAGACACTGGGTGATGGATGAGGGGCTGGGAAAATGTTAAATCTGCCTTAATGAGGTTTACACTGCCTCTGTCCTTAGCTTGATAATCCCTGTGAAGAATTGTGTAGCCTCCCTGGCTTCTACCCATTGCGTGCCAGGAGAACCTCTGCTACACTCTGCCCCTCCTTGTGACAACCAAAAGCCCCTGAGTGGTGGGGATCACATATTTTTGATTGAGAACTGCTAACCTGAAATTCTCAAACTTTAGCACAGATAGAGATCACCTGGATGGTTTGTTAAGCCACAGATTGCTGAAATCCTGCCCTCAGACCCATCCAGGAGGTCTGAGTTTCTACGAAGTTTTCAGATGACGCTGGTACTGGTGCAGATGAGATGGGGACCACCCTGGAGAGCTGCTCCTGGTGGTAACGGCGGATGCCAGTGGTGAAACCCTAAGCCTAGAGCTGCTGTTTAATAGGACAAGGGAGTGCTCCTCAAATGGCCTGGCTGGCGGAGACTTGAAGAAAGTGACGAAAGGGGCTTGGGCGTTGGGCTGTGCCGCTACTGTGCACTACTGTGTTTCTGCAGGAGAGACCTGTGGCTCTTAGGATCTGGCATTTTACCTCACAATGGACTGCAGCTAGCCATGTTGCATGGATGAAATAGGTGTTCCATCTGAACTGGTTCTGTCACTAGAGGGAACCAAGATTCAAACAGGCCAGTTTGCCAAGTCTGCTAGGTACCACACTTGCACTTGGGAACCGGAGGGGGTGAGGGGGCGGGAAGGGGCCCAAAGTAGGATTGGTGAGTAACTGGAAAAAACCTTGGGCTAGGTTATTTATTAGGAAACTTTTTTGAGAGGGAGTTTTGCCCTTTGACCCACCCAATCTGGGGTGAGGTGGTGCCATCTTGGCTTATTGCAACCTCTGCCCACCCTGGGTTCAAGCAATTCTTCTGCCTCAGCCTCCCAAGTAACTGGGACTACAGGAGTGTGCCACCACACCCAGCTAATTTCTGAATTTTTAGAAGAGACAGGGTTTCACTATGTTGGCCAGAATGATCTTGAACTCCCTGATCTCATGATCTGCCCGCCTCAGCCTCCCAAAGTGCTGGGATTACAGGTGTGAGCCACCACATCCAGCCAGGAAGCTTTTTTTTTTTTTTTTTTTTTTTTTTTTTTTTTTTTTTTTTTTTTTTTGAGACGGAGTCTCGCTCTGTCGCCCAGGCTGGAGTGCAGTGGCGCAATCTCGGCTCACTGCAAGCTCCGCCTCCCGGGTTCACGCCATTCTCCTACCTCAGCCTCCCGAGTAGCTGAGACTACAGGCGCCCGCCACTGCGCCCGGCTAATTTTTTTCTATTTTTCAGTAGAGACGGGGTTTCACCATGGTCTCGATCTCCTGACCTTGTGATCCGCCCGCCTCGGCCTCCCAAAGTGCTGGGATTACAGGCGTGAGCCACCGCGCCCGGCCTGCCAGGAAGCTTTTTAACTTGAATCTTCTCACACTTAAGTATTAAGGCATCTCTGTTGAGACAGACTCCTATTAAGTAGCTTGCCTACTCAGGATCAAACCCCAAGTTTAAATACTATTCCTACCAGGTTTGGATCCATGCTTCTCCGATTCCTAGCCCTGTGACCTTGGGCATGTTTCTAATGCTCTGTGCCTCAATTTTCTCAATCTGTAAAGTCAACAAAATAGAACCAACTTCATGGCATTGATTTGAAGAGTTAATTCACGTAGAGCACAAGGGTGTTGGCCACATAATAGCTCTCGGTGCTGGGCAGTCTTTTTTTTTTTTTTTGAGACGGAGTCTGGCTCTGCGGCCCAGGCTGGAGTTTAGTGGCGCGATCTCGGCTCACTGCAAGCTCCGCCTCCCGGGTTCACGCCATTCTCCTGCCTTAGCCCCCCGAGTAGCTGGGACTACAGGCACCTGTGACCGTGCCCGGCTAATTTTTTTTTTTTTTGTATTTTTTAGTAGAGACGTTTCACCGTGTTAGCCAGGATGGTCTTGATCTCCTGACCTCGTGATCCGCCCACCTCGGCCTCCCAAAGTGCTGGAATTACAGGAGTAAGCCACTGCGCCCAGCGGTGCTGGGCACTCTTAACAGTTTTCTGATTTTTTTTTTTTTTTGAGACAAGAGTCTTGCCCTGTCACGAAGCTGGAGTACAGTGGCACAATCTCAGCTCACTGCAACCTCCACCTCCCAGGTTCAAGCGATTCCCCCATTTCAGCCTCCCGAGCAGCTGGGATTACAGGTCTGTGCCACCATGCTCGGCTAATTTTTGTATTTTTAGTAGAGACGGCATTTCACCGTGTTGGTCAGGCTGGTCTCCAACTCCTGACCTCAAGTGATCCGCCCGCCTCAGCTTCCCAAAGTGCTGGGATTACAGGCATGAGCTACCGCACCCAGGCTTCTTTTTTTTTAAGAGACAAGGTTCACTGGGTTGCCCAGGCTGGCCTCGAACTCCCGGGCTCAAGCAGTCCTCCTAGGCACGTGTGGGCCCAGCTGCTGGGATTGGCACTTTTTTTTTTTAGTCGGAATCTCGCTCTGTCGCCCAGGCTGGAGTGCAATGGCGTGATCCGGACTGGCTAATTTTTTGTATTTTAGTAGAGACGGGGTTTCACCATGGTGGCCAGGGTGGTCTCATGATCCACCCGCCTCGACCTCCCAAAGTGCTGGGATTACAGGCATGAGCCACTGCGCCTGGCAGTTTTGTGAACTTGAACTATGGGCTTTATCTGTCCTGATTGTGTTTCTCGTTCATTCAGCAAGTATTACTTTATTTTTTGAGGTGGAGTTTCACTCTTGTCACCCAGGTTGGAGTGCAACAGCACTATCTCAGCTCAATGCAACCTCTGCCTCCCGGGTTCCAGCTATTCTGCCTCGGCCTCACAAGTAGCTAGGATTATAGGACTGCACCACCACGCCCGGCTAATTTTTGTATTTTTTTAGTAAAGATGGGGTTTCACCATGTTGGCCAGGCTGGTCTCCTGACCTCAGGTGATCTGCCCGCCTGGACCTCCCAGAGTGCTGGGATTACAGGTGTAAGCCACCGCGCCCAGCTCATTCAACAATTATGTTATCAATGTTGATGTGCCCAGCATTATTCTAGGCTCTAGGGAAATAATCCATTGACAAAGCAGGGTCTACCAATGCGCTTGTCCGAGATTGCTGGGAATGGTTGACTGGGGCCAGTTTGCAGTTGCTGTGAGGTGGCTTTCCTTGAGGCACCATGGCTAAGTGACGTCGACTTTGATGATCAAGAAGGCTCCTCCCAGGGGTGGGGAGGCCTCGGCAGGGGGCGGCATGTGAGCGCCAGAGGGCAGGGATTTCACGGAAATGAAAGTGGAAGCAAACAGCCTGCAAGCAGAACCTCCTGAGGTGTTTGGGTCCTGCTGGGGCTGCGAGAGACCAAAGCCCTTGGAGGGGACGGGTACAAACAAGAGTTCAGTTGTGGTGGATTCTGCCAGTGTGCCCAGCTCTGAGGCCTCAGCTCTTGCCAAACAGACCCGAGACCCATGTCAGCCCCGCTGAATGCCGTAAGTGAGGAGGAGGGAGTTGGGAATTGGGGAAAAAGGAACAATCCTTTGGCTAGGAACCCACAGATATCTCACGACCTGGCAGCCAAGCCTCTCCCCGCCCATCTCAGGCCTGCTGAAGGGCTGGGGAGAAACACAGGGCTGGGATTGCCTCTGCCTTGTGGAGTCGGTTCCCTAAGCTATTGCCTCAGACAGGAGGAGCTCATTAAATCCTGTGTGTGTGCACTTCTCTGGAGAGAGAATCCGTAGTTTCCATCAGATACTCAAAGGGTTCTGTGACCCAAATAACAGTTGTTCTAGGCCAGGAGTGGTGTCTCATGCCTGTCATCCTAGCGCTTTGGGAGGCCTGGGCAATACAGTGAAACTCCGTCTCTACTAAAATACAAAAAATAAGCTGGGTGTGGCAGTGTGCTCCTGTAATCCCAGCTACGTGGGAGGCTGAGACAGGAGAATCACTTGAACCTGGGAGGTGGAGGTTGCGGTGAGCCGAGATTGTGCCACTGCACTCCAGCCTGGGTGACAGAGCGAGACTGTCTCAAAAAAAAAAGAAACTAAAGGAATTAGGCTGGGTGCAGTGGCTCACGCCTATAATCCCAGCCAGCACTTTGGGAGGCCGAGGCGGTTGGATCACTTGAGGTTAGGAGTACGAGACCAGCCTGGCCAACATAGCGAAACTCCATCTCTGCTAAAAACACAAAAATTAGCCAGGCGTGGTGGCACACACCTGTAATCCCAGCTACTCGGGAGACTGAGGCGGGAGAATTGCTTGAACCTGGGACGCAGAGGTTGCAGTGAGCTGAGATTATACCACTATGCTCCACTCTGGGCAACAGAGGGAGACTGTCTCTCTCTCTCTCACACACACACACTATCTATCTGTCTGTCTGTCTATCTATCTATCTATCTATCGTAAGAATCACACTAGGTAATCCATAGATTGACACAGTAAAAACTTATCCCACTGCTTAGCACCTACAGAGCATTCAATATGTGTTTCTTCTTGTTAATGTTATTATTGCCAACCTTTTCAGAACCCCAGTTCCCCAAGACAATCTTTTTTTTTTTTTTTTTGAGACGGAGTCTCGCTCTGTCACCCAGGCTGGAGTGCAGTGATGCGATCTCAGCTCACT